ATATATATATATATATATATATAACGATTCGATTCAATTGTACGAGATAACATTTTTTTATTCCTCTGTTCAATTAAATTTTCTTTCTTTGAAGATTCTCATTCTTTGAAGGGGAAGTTGCGAGGGTAAACGGAAATGTGAGACACGCGAGGAGGATTGTTTGTCTTTTCGAAGAAAGGATTGATAGGCGCTGGTTTCATTTGCAAACTCATTTTCGACAAATTTTGTATTATCTTGTTGTTGAAGTTCTTGACTTTTCTTTTGTCTTTCGTCGATTTTTCCGTTTCCGTATTCCGTTTTCGGTAATAGAACACCTCTCCTGCTAAGGTGATCATCGCCAGGGCGAGTCCAAAGAGGGTTGCGATAAACACTCCGCCTGAAAGTTTGTTTCTTTCCATTTTTATTTGGTTTAAAATTTAATTCGATCTCGAATATTATTATCCTTTTCTAAAATCAACCATAAACTTTCAATTTTGAAATTGTAGGATTCACAGAGATTGGGTGACGACTCACCCAAACTTTCCAAAGTAATTCCTTCATTATCATCAGAATTCAGACATTGAGCTTTCTGCGTTTGGTTCCAATATTTAGAAGCCAACATTTCAAAGTATCTATCTTTCTGCAAATCCAAAATCCTGCAACGAATCAAATATAAGTAAAATAGAATACGATCATCCCTTTAAATATCTTAATATAAAAACAAACTTTCTGCTTATCTCTTCCTGCAAATGGCTTCCTTGCTGAACAGCAATTGCATAAGGCTGTTCCGCAAACACTTCTCCAACCTCTGTCAAATTGCAATTCTTCGTTACCTCATACCGTATCTCCGACGAATCGTGGATGAAAGCGAATTCTGCATTTTCGCTTTCTATCACCTGAAACGATGCAAAAAGCAATAGTTTCAGACATCGATTTATTCCATACTTGATTCAATTGTCGTCGTTTTGTACCTTTCGAAAACCCTCCATTGAATTCGCAACTGGACCGACTTGTGTGATCGCTTGCAATATGTGGCCGTATTGTTCCTTGATAGGATAATCCCAGACTCGATACTCTACCTCGTCACTTGTATTGTTTAATGTGATTTCTTTCCATACGCTAATTGAAATATGAAATTGAGAAGAATTATTGGATTTACAAGGAAAGGAATATTTTTTACTTTTATTATTTGATTATAATTTTTATTATTTGATTAATGAATTTATTTTAAATTTTGTCAATAATTTTATTCTTTTTTTAATCTGCTATTAAAGTTCTTTCTTTTTCAGTGAACTTACGTGTACAATTTATCCTCTGCATTCTTCATATTTATAAAATACTGATGCTGACTAGAATTAGCCACTACAGTATAATTGATTCTAGATTGTCTGGCTAATTGTTCCAAAGATTGCACAGGAGACTAAAACGGTACACAATATATTGCAATATTATCTCTCATTTTGAAAATCAAAAGGTATGTATATTCTCAATTAAAAGTCACATTTTTTACTAGAAATAAAAATTGGATAAATTTTTCTATAAAATTAATAAAATTAATGATTATTCAAATAATTATTTCTTTTGGATGTATTTTAATGAGAATAATTTTGAAAACCTGCATTCTTTCCACAGTAAGGAAAGCAGCTAAATTAGCAGTGAATGTAGCCAACATTAAAACAACGAATAACCAATAAGCAGCAACTAGTATCCTGCTTGATAACGCTTTGGGTGCTTCGCCGCCACCTTGGGGTGTAAAAGACGTCAAGGCGAACCAGAAGCTCTCCTTCAACGTGAATTCTCTAAACACAGAATATAATTAGGTTATACGACAATCATTATCGATTAAGTAATTGCTTTGTCTTTATGACAATCATTAACGATAAAATGTAGTGGTCATTAAGGGTGATTTATAGTAATCTTGATCTAATTCCAGCAAATGACCAAAGATATTGACGCGAACATTACTATAATAATAATAATAATTAATTTAAATTTCCATTAATGAGACTTCGATAATTAATAATTTTTATAATTAATATTTTAGAAATTTTAAAATTATTACCGACAAGGATACGGATACAATTGTTTATTATTCCTGGCGCTGTAAGGAGAATATTTGTCAAGTATCCAAATCATGATGCCAGTTAATGTCAAAGCTCCTACGATGCTTAACCACACTTCGACTTTGAGTACTGTCATAAATTTGAAAAGGGATGGTTTGCGGACAGGTTTCCTCATTACTTATAACAAAAAATTAAAAAAAAAAAAATCGTATAATGTAAAAATTTGTTAACATTTAAATTAAAAATAGTTATATTATTTACCAATTAATAAGCCGGATTGTTCGAAGTAAGGGGCGACGAAATCGATCACTTCCTCACGTTCTGAAGTCATTGTCAATGCAGCAACTATGATATCTGTCTCCTAAAAAAAATAATTATAAAAAAGAAGTAAAACATGATAAAAAAATAAAAGAAAGAAATAGATTCATAAAAGAAGAATATTAATTTGAAGGAAAAATTGAAATTAAAGGAGATGATATTTTACACTAAGAGGTATGCATGGTTGCAGACTCATAGGCGCCATCAAGTTCAATATATAGGGTAGGTATTAAGAAAATTTTGACATTTCTTTAATAAGATGAAAAAAAAAAAAAATAAAGGTAAAATGTGATAAATAAAAAAGAAGAATATTAATTTGATAGAAAACTTATGAAAATAATGTTTTATAGAAATAACAAGGTTTGCATGGTTGGATGCAGATTCACAGATGCCATGAAATTCAGTATACAAATCTTACTCCTTTAGCTAGATCACCAATCAAGCCATTCCATTGTCCATTAGGTAATTTCTTGCCAAATTGTCGATCTTCAGGTATGATAAGATCATAATCAAATTGCATCTCTTCCGATAATTTCTTGATAAAATCTATGCAATATCCATCCCACATATCATTTCCATTCTCATTTTTCATAACTTTTCCAGTCGCTGGATCGATTTTAGGTATTATCCAAGGTACTGACTAATATAATTTTAATATTTGTATTAATTAATATTACAAATTCATAATGAAATTAAATGAAATTTGTTTATTAATTACAGGAGCAGTTCCAACTCGAAAGAATCTTTTGGCAGGTAATATCTTTTTATTCTCTACTTCTTTTATCTTTCCATTTCTCGTCCAAGTGGCTAATGGTTCCAATAATCCATTCTCAAGAATTTCCAATTCTATTTCAGCTTTATACGTGATCATTCCTTTCTCTGACCAATACTCAAATGTATCGTTGCCTGCTAATTTCTGTGGCAGAATTTTTTCTTCAATTTTCAATGATTTTTATTTTGAACAATTTAAACTTGTGACTTACAGCAAGTATATTCTTGTTAAACGTCTCAATCGTGACGTTTGAAGTTTGATTCACTGTGTTCGATGAGCATGTGCCACTTTTTGGCTCCACACTAATACCTGATGCCTGAAGTTCGCTCATCAGACTCACGATGAGGCCTACTAATCGTTTAAAATAATTGGAAAATATCTACAGAACCATCGCAAGATTAAACAAAATTATTCTAATTATCATATCAAACAGACTATGCAAAATAGAAAATTCTCAAGTACTTTGACATCTGAAGGACAATTGCAGAGCGAATCACCAATTAATTTGCAACAAACATCCATCTTCATCCACAGAACCGTGATGGAAACGTTCAACTGTAAGTCTCCATTGATATATTTAAAATCCTTATAACTATTATCGGTGAAAATCAATTTCCATATTCCATTTCTCTTGACCAATCCTCCTTGCACGGCCTAAACAATTTTTAAGTTAAAAAAATAATATTGGAAACAAAATTTTTTTAGGTGTAACACATTACTTTTCACGACATAAATGTTTAAAATTCTCTCTACTACCGTTTTGAAGAAATCCTCCATCTTGGCTGTACTAGCATAGATAGCGTAATAAGATGGTGATGGCCTCATACTCTTGATCTTCGACACCGTTTTCTCGGTGAATTCGTCGATCACGATTAATCTTAAGATAGAATTTCCGATCAAATAGTAGAGACTCTGATTCAACTCTGTTAAAAGAAGTTTTCGACATTTTCAACAAAAACAAAATTTGGGAAAAGTTGGTTCGAAGATCGTTACCAAAGTACCTCTTTCATCTTCGAAGATCAGAGCAACATCAGTGGCGTTTTTCAACATCAAAAGATCATCGATCGCTTGGATGTACGGGTTCATATTGCTGTCACCCCGTTTGTATATTATTCCATTCTCGTCGGCTATGATCCGAAGATTATCCCAACCGGTCCAGGTCATATCGAGCACGATACTGATTCCCTTAAATAAGGCAGCACATACTGCAAGTTGATTTTAACAAAACAAGAATAAGAACGGATCGCGATCATGGCAAAATATTGTGCAGTTAATATTGCTAATGAGACAATTGGAAATTAATTATATCGAAAAATTTGTTCAATATTTTGTAGTTTGAAATATTTTGGGTATTTCTAGATGCTAAATTCAAGAAAAAACCCTAGTCGTTGGAATCTTCATATATAGAGATTTGCAAAGAGATCTCAAGAATTAATATTGTGATTAAAAATTATTCAATATTAATTTTAATATAATTTTAAAATGTTTAAGGATGTTGAATTTTAAAAAAATTCTAATGATCTCTTTTGGATAAGCAACAAAGTAAAAAATGAGATTTACAAAAAAATCGATAGAAAACTTCGGATAGCTGTTTTTAAAGAATATTTTTAACTTCTTAACTTTTCTTAAAGCTAGCGTCTATATTCGAACGTTCAACTTCGATTGTAGAAATATGAACAGAGATGATATCGTTTCCATAATTCTTTTCTGCTTGTGGTAGGGCCTCGTTCAAAATGTTTAAAATCGATTTATCCGGTTCTTCTATCACTATCACTGTAAAAAATAAAAATGTGATGTAAATTAGAAATGTGATGTAATAAGAAAAAAAAAATTATTTACATATATAATTTTTTAATTAAAATACTTCATAAAAAGAAAATATTAATGCGATATAAATTAATGAAAAAGGAAAAAATTATTGATACACGTATAATTTTTCAAGTAAAATAATTCATAAGAAAATATCCTAATCATACATCAGTGCACATATTGGCATATTAAAAGAATATGCAATTTCATCAAACACGCGATCCATTTATATTTCTGATTAATGGTTATTTCTTAAATTGTTTCACGTAGTTTCGTCACGAGAGATCAGATCTAATCAACCAATAATTATCTACACATTACAAATTATTATTTTTGATTTAAAAAAGATAATACGATATATATATATATTTTTTTTTTTGTAAAAAACATATGATATGTGCTATCCGAAATCGATCTTTCTCTTTTAATTTTTCCTCCATCGTTATTAATTACTCTTGTAAATCTTTTTTTCTGTGTCAAGGATCGGAGATTGACCGAGTCGGCGCAGGAGATGCGGAAGGTTTCAGTCAGACAGGTTCGTCGCGTGAATAATTCAACAATAGTACAGCAACCTTTCCATATCGATGTATCGATGAACCAATCAAAGTTTCATGCCATCCAATCAATGTTTAACTCGTGTATTTAATTTCATATCATCTTTACCGTGCAATATTGTACGAAGAAATGACAAAGAAAAGTAATAAGTCTTCTAAAGCAATTTCAAATCATCTGTTATCTATTTAAAAAAATCAAGCATCATTCTGTGACAAATGATACGGAAGAAAAATAATAAATTCTGCGACGAACAATAGACAAGAAATTATCTAAAGAAGTTTTCAATCTATTATCTATTATCTAAAAAAGCAAAAATCAAAATCAAGAATTTATATAATAAAATTAAAGAATTATATGCATCCCAAAAAAACAGAAAACTACAAGCGTGACAAAGAGAACAAAATCAAAAGTAAGTAATAACATAATTTCGTACAAAATTCAAGAATAATACCTTGTTAAAAAATTTTACAAAAATCACACATCAAACATTTAATATCATTTTAAAATAAAATAAAAAAAAATTATATTAAATCAAAATTCATCATATAGACTTACACATGTTCATAGGTATTTGACAAATGGAAACACCAAGAAACGCAAGCAGCAATGCACACACTGCAACTAGAGTCGTGGACATGGCTCAGGAGAATGGAGTTGGTACCGGATGGACGAACAACGGTCGCCTTCCGCGGAAACAGGTAGACAAGCCTGAGGACACTGTCTACAACGACAACCACGCCTGCGCCCGCCACGCTCCCTTATGAATATTACACCCTCGTCCATCAAACTATAGTCCTTGTTCCCCGCTGTATTTTGATTACGTTGAGGCACGATGTCACATCTTGACACGGGTCCCTTCCATCTTGGCCATCGATTTATCGCTCAACTTGACGTCTGCCAAGGATTACCAACCTGAGTCGATGGTTGCAACTTGCGAATAGATTTTGCGAATAAATGGTTGGATCGTTGGAGAATGTTTGGAGGATGCTGAAAGAGAACACGATTTATACTTAATAAAATTGGATTTGAATTTTGATTCCTAGTTAAATTGAAGAAAAGTTTACAGTGCATAAAAATTGTTCGAGAATGTTTGTTAAATATGAAACTATCAAGATTTATTAAGAGAAAATTTCATTGCACGTGTTAAATTTAAGAAATATATTCAAAGCAACTTTTTAACGATAATGTAAATATATTTTTATTTATCTTAATCACAAAACAAAGTTTTGATTTTGGTGGTAAATTATATCTTATTTAAGGTGGTAAAATTATATTTAAAATTATAAATTATAATATGTAAATATATTTATAAAATTATAAAATAATATTTTAATATTTAATTATATTTTTATGAGTTACCAAGTTGCATATTTATACCTGTGATTTCTTTTGCATGTGAATCGCAAAAGAATAAATGATCGATACGCACATTATTGATTCGCCTTGGACGTAATGCATTTGTTCGGTAACAGTTAACAGAGGAAGCCTATAATCAGGAATCGTTGGTTGAAAACTAACTTCTAGTTTCCTAATCGATAATTGATTGTATCGCGATGTGACCCATTCCTCCGCAGTTGAATTCGCGAAATTCGATCGTTATTTTCATGACCGCTCGACGATAAAATTCCCTTTAACCGCGTCCATCGAAATCATTCCATCGAATCCAATTCTTCGATTGAATCTCAGATCAAGTGAAGAAAGGAAAAGAAAAAAAAAAAAAGAAGAAGAAAGAAAACGAAGCAGATGATAGAATCGTGTTTCTCGATCGACGAGTCTCAGCCACGATGAACGTCACGTTTTCCCATTATCAGTTCTGATCATGGTCTAAGGTTGATTAATTTCCATGGTTGAGGAAACCTGTGAATCGATGGTGCGCGGTTACAAAGGAATAATGACGCAAGGATCGAGATTGCTCCGCAGATGTTCCCGAGGCCAGCTGAAGCGAAATGCTTCAATAGTTCTCGCACTATTTTTAAATATATTTCAGATGTCCTTTATGCAAACGCAATCTCGAGGAACCTGCCCCTATTGTTTCTCACTGTTTCTCTCTTTCTTCAGAAGCTGCGTGACAAGTTTAGACTTGATATCGTTGTGAAAGTACGTTTGAAAAAATTCGAAATAAAATTTACGATCGATTTGTCTGTTAAGTTTCTATTTTAAAAAATTGGCAAAAAATTACCTTGGCATTGATGAGTTTAAAATAAGAAAAAGAAAGTCTTGAGACTGGCTTTCTTCTCTACTTCACGTTAGAAGTCAATAGTTCAAAGATATTTGAAATTATAGTGAGAATATTTTTTGATAAAGAAAGTATTATTTTTCTCTGAAAAGATGTAAAATTTATTTATTACCATGACAAAAAGATAGAAATAATCGAATAGAAGACAGCGCCACATTGCGTCCATTGAATGAACTTTCTTGCCATAAGTGTCGCATTTCGCTGTAAGATGTCGTTACGTGTGCACAGGATGCGTACATTAAAAGACAATTCCGATTACCATTCCGTGTGTTTCATTGGACTTTATGAATCGGCGTATTGCGTTACGTCATGCACTGGCTTGCATAATGCAATACAAGATTTTTATCGTTACATGAATTAAAATTAATGCAACCAAGGAAGGAATTCTACGGGAAGGGCCGGTAAAACAGAAAGCGATATCATCGTTCAATTCGTAAATGAATGCTTCGGTTTATCGTCAAACGTGTGTTTCACGATGATCATTGTCAGTTATTTTTAAGTTATTCTTTCTGACTTAAGTTTAATTTGTTGTTGTTAAAAGTGCGGTTAAACTTATCCTTTGCAAAAATGAATAAACAGTAAAGAACTTGAAACGAGATGTTTAATTTGACTCGTCATAACTGTACCTACAAATTATGCCCGCTTTCAACATTCCATGGTGAGTGAGCGGATCTTAAAGAAATGTTTAAAAAATACGTGCAGGATGGCAGTACAGGCATTTCACTGACGTATCCTACCGAAGAGTTTCGGTATATTTTTCTTGCATAATTTAGTTCACCAGACGCTGCAGTTCTTTTAATCGGCGCCGATTTTCGGCCTAAAATACTGCTCCAGTTTCATGGAAAATGGAACATGTAATCCCTTCATGATTTTTGTGCTTCTGCAAACGTGCTATATAACCACGAAATATTCATATGTATAAACGCACCGTAACTATTTTGAAATATATGTAATTATTGCCCATGAAAATTATTTTTTATATCAGCATATAAAATTCAAATTATAGTCTATTAAGTCTAAAATTCAAATTACAGTCTATAATTGAAGGAAAATTAGGGCAAGGCGAGCTAAAACATGTGCGTGAGAAGTGACTTTGTATTAATAGGAAAGAATATTTGCATGGTACAATAATGCAAATGCATTCATATGAGCGACTGATACACAATTTAACTACCGTTACGGGACACTTCGTCGAGAGAAGTGGCGTCAATTGAACGAAGAAATACGGAAATGAGAAAAAGAGAGGAAGCGGCGAAAGAAAACACGCGCGAGAACGCGTGCATTAGAAACGAAATGCACGCGTCAAAACGTATTACAATTTCACGCACGAAAAGTTACACGAAAAGGTTCGTGGAACGCGAGCCTGTACAACGGATTACACCCTGTACGGAGAATGGTAAGTTGCGGTGGAATTGTGGACAATTTTGTCGGAACAAATTAACATGGATGAACGAATTATTTTACAAACTTCTGTTTCCGTGGACAAATAGATGTGACGAGAATTTGGAAGAAAGTTAAACCGTGAAGATATCACGCGGTGAGGAAAGAAAGGAGAAAAGAATAGAATTTTATTCAAGAAGCGCTCTAATGCGGGAAGTACAGGCTCGGTGATTTCCGGATGCAATCGGTTGTTTCCGGCACGGCCGCCCTCCCGAACTAAAACCATTCATTCGATGGAGAGCGAGAGGCGAAGGATTGAACGGAGAACGGGATAGGAAGGTGGTAGGTGGAAACGAGAGTTCCCGAGGAAGAAGGATGGAGAAAGTGAGTGAGCGAGTGAATGAGAGACGAGCAGAGGGAAGAGTAAGAGGAAAGGAGAAGGAAAGCGGTGTGGCAGGGTAGAGAGGCAAAGAGAATACATGAGAGAGGTAGGCTCGGCCGATTCGAGAAGGCTGGCAGGCTGCTGGTAGGCAAGAGTAAGAAAGCGAGGGAGCATACTGGCTGGCAGAGGCAGACTGGCCGGCCGTGCGCTGTAGTTAACAGAACTGCTAGCAAATCGGCAGCAGATGTGGCCAGTTAGCTCTGTGCTGTGTTCTCGTTCGGATCTCGGTGTTCCGTATATTTCGATGACTGACTGAATCCGCAGTCGATAGTAGCGACATTAGCTATCGATTGTCGAGCGTGATCCTCGTCGTCGCGACACATATCGAAATTGAAAGAACGATACAAGAGTGAATGCGAGAAAAAGCTAACAGAATCAATGACAAGTCGTGGCAAAGTGAAAACAATTTAGTTTTGCGAACATAATATCGACGTATAGTATAGAACAAGACGAAATTGGATAAGATAAACGACAAGAAGAACAATTACGGTCTATCGAGAAGAAAATCACAACGTAGAGAGAAGAGGAGAGAACAAATCGAATGGAACAGTCGGTCGCGCGCCAGCACCAAGAACGCAGTGACCGTCGTACCTGTCCGTCGGTGGCCGAAGACTTGTCCGATCGAGACTCGGGAGTGATGTGGCAACATTGCTGGTGGCTCGCGAGTGGAGGAGTCAGTCGTTGCTCGGCTGTTCTATCGTAGTCTGTGTCTGACAGTGCAGTGTCGCTGCCAATAGAACCGCGAGGGCCCGTCAGGGCCCACGAACAACGCGAACAGCACCGCGATAAACACCGCGGTCAAAATGACATATTTAAGAAAAATAAGAACGAATTACATCACGAGTATCGAAGGGACAATCGTACAAACACGTCGTTCATTGCTACGATAGCGCATGTTCACGTTGTTTATTACCATCATAAAATAGCTCAAGAGAAGAGAGAGTTTCATGACTTGCGAGAGAGTAACAGTGTTTCGAAGCGTACAATCGCTGTGTGACGTGCGTATTCGTTGTATATACACATCCGTTTCGAGTCGCTACAAGCGGGTTTTCTTCGAACCTTTGTAGAAGTTCCTAAAGTGCGTGCGTACGGTTCTACGCGGCTGCTACTCGAATGTCGAGAAACGAATGAGTGCGTGAATCGTGACAACATCGTGTCGAAGTGTACAGAGAGTACTCAGAGAGAGAGTGAGAGAGAATCCGTCTCTCTTTCTCTCGCATCCCGTAGAGGCCGTGGTCGGACTTTACGCCGTCGTACGCGCTTCTCCCCTCCCCCTTAATAGACTGCTTCTTTCTCCCTCTCTCTCGCTGAAGGCCAATTTATCTATCCCGTCGGCCGTACGTCTGTCTTAGTCTATACCATTCCTGTCTGTGCGCTGGCAGAGTTTTCACTGGCGCGACACGGCACGGCACGCGCGCACGGTACGACACGTAAACGAAACCGGCTGTCCAGGCGAATCGGGAGTGTCAAAGATCCGAAAAATCACGGGCATGGAAACAGTGTGTGCCATGGACTGAAAAATAGTGCGGGACCCGTTGTCTCGTGCTTACCGCCGTCCAAAGAAGATCTTGCATTTCATCCGGTGCGTGATTGTGTGTTCCTTTACACCAAAGGAGGAAGAGAGGTTAGGTTAGGCTAGGACTCGCGTCACCCCTAGCCACAGTCCGTCCTTGTCTCTCTTTCACTTGGTTCCCTTACCTCTCTTTCTCTGGCATACAGCGAAGAGGAACGCAGACACAAGAGTCCAGACCGATTACACACATACACACGCACACACACATACGCAGGACAATTGGGGAAAGAGGAGGAAAACACAAATGCCGATCGCCCGTGGAATTCTGGTCGCTGGAACTGCGGCTCATTGCTGGTCTTCCGCCGCTGGCATGCTTCGATTCCTCGCTAGACTTTCAGGTTAGCACGCAATCCATCTCTTATTCGCTGGACAGTATGTCTTCGACGTTGACGGCTG